ATCATATTTGAAGTCATGGCAAGGAGTTTAAAAATGTAAATATAATCATTGAACCATATTTTTTGAAAGATATATCCTCATAACTTCAACGATAATTAATTATGTATTGCCAACTAAAAGGACTAGGAACATCAAATCTTGTCAGTTGATACATAAGGACGTCATATTATATTGACTAAAAAATAGATCACAGTGACCTCCTTTTTAGCACCTGAGCCGAAGGCTTAAGTGAGCTTTTCTGATCAAAATTTGTCCATTGTCTGTCATTGTTGTCGTCGTCGTCGTAAACTTTTCACATTTTCATCTTCTTCTCAAGAACCAATGGACCAATTTCAACCAAACTTGCCACGAAGTATCCTTAGGTGAAGGGGATTCAAGTTTATTCAAATGAAGGGCCACGCCCACTTCCAAGGAGAAATAATTATGAATTAGTGAAAAATTAATGGCATTTTTAAAAAATCTTCTTCTCAAGAACCACTTGACCAAGAAAGATGAAACTCATATGGAAGCATCCTCAGGTAGTGTAGATTCAAATTTGTTCAAATCATGACCCGCGGGGGTAGGGTGGGGCCACAAAGGCCAATCAAAGTTTTACATAGGAGTATATAGGGAAAATCTTTAAAAATCTTCTCAAGAACCACTGGGCCAGGAAAGATGAAACTCATGTGAAATCATCCTCAGGTAGTGTAGATTCAAGTTTGTTCAAATCATGACCCGCGGGGGTAGGGTGGTGCCACAATGGCCGATCAAATTTTTACATAGGAATATATAGGAAAAATCTTTAAAAATCTTGTTTCTCAAAAACCACTGGGCCAGGAAAGATGAAACTCATGTGAAATCATCCTCAGGTAGTGTAGATTAAAGTTTTTTCAAATCATGACCCCCAGGGGTAGGAAGGGGCCAAAATGGCTGATCAAAGTTTTACATAGGACTAGATAAGGAAATCTTTATAGTTTTACATAAAAATATATTTAAAAAATCTTCTTCTCAAGAATAGCAAAACGATGATTAGTGATACTAGTATTGATATGGAAGCATTTTCGGGTAGGGTAGAATTAAGTTGTTCAAATCATAACCCCCAAGGATAGGGTGGGGCCACAATGATGGATCAAAGTTTTACATAGAAAAATAAAGGGAAAAATCCCAACAACAGAAAAGCTATGTTTAGTTATATTGAAATGTAAGCATCCTCATGTATTGAAGATTTAAAGGTTCATTCTCTATAAGGTCATTTTCCGGCCTACGACAAAATCACTTTAAAATGTGATTTTATATAACTATATTCATTCTAGTTCATGATTTTGATGTTTGTTTTTCAACATCGATCATCTAAGTCACGTGATTTAGAGATAAAAAATGGCTGTCAGTTAAAGAAAAATTGAGGGTAGGTCTATTCAAATCAGGTTTTTATGCATGTTTCTGAATGTAAATAATCAAAAATTGTTTATTTATGCCGGAAATACATCAGACCTAAGTAATGAATTCGAAGATCTTTTAAATTTAAGGTTCAAGATACTTTTTATGACAAGAATTCAGATGCATTTTGAACGTAAATCTTTACGAAATTTACACTGAATGGTGCTGAAAAAAGTTTGATTTGCAATTTATTGAAAAGAATTATAGTCTATATGATTATATTGTAATTGTATATCATTTCTATAGATGTGGTACTTATATTACGCATAAAATAACCATGTTATAAATGAGGTTTCTAATTTTCTATTGAACACTGAAAGTTGAGAATCAAATGTTGAAAGCACTGAATGGATTTTGATTGTGATTAAATAAAGCTGAAGTAGTAATTAAGAAAAGGAATTCAACAATTGCAAAAAAAAATAAAGAATTAACAGCATAAGAATATCATCGCAAGTACACGTTGACTATCCATATACATGTAAATAGTCAATATATGTAACTCAGAGCGGTTGCATTAAAACATTATACATCTCTAAGTAAAACAACGTTGTAAAATGGCTTTGCTTTTATTTAATTACCCGTGTTGCACGAAATATTCAATTAAAAATGCCATCTAAACTTTATGTATTTACATGTATATAAGTTGAGACCCCCCCCCCCCCCCTCCGTGTCTAACGGCACAACATAAAATGGAGCAGAATTTTAACAGTTCCTTCAACTACGCGTATCAGATTCTGAAGTTTTCGTATATACTAGTATACGGACTGAAGAGTTCTACAACATCCCAGGAACAAAATGGACCCTTAGGGTTTGATGCTCCTTTCCCATTCTTGAAACCTGTAGATTAAATTCAGTCTCTTTCCCAGTGCAGCGTCAAAAACTTGTTTAGCACTGATAGTGACAGTTCCATACCTTTAGTCTTTAGCATTTAAAGTAAATATCATCGGTCTTTTGGATTTTATCTTTTTTTTAAAAAAAAAAAAGGTCCCGTCCCGTATTGGGCGTTGGTTATTAATGCAACTATGCCTTTATCAATTCTTGACCTTAAGTGGGTGATTTCTTTACCTGGTTGAAAAATCCTAAAAATGGGGTAAAACAACATTCAATTATATCGATCACATATTACATTTAAGAATCCCTCTCCTCTTTACTAGTTTATTTTCTAGGACAGGACTAATATTATCGTAACTTATATCGATGATATCAAAGAAGTGTGATGAATAGATTGAGTCCTCTCAATATTAAGACTCAGTTAACAAAATATGGATCACATGATACTCGAACGGAAGTGTCCATATAAACGTCATGTAGGTACCCATAGGAAAAAAGTCTATAACACAAATAATAAATGTATGTTACCGCTTCAACAAAGATTGCTTTAATCATTTTTAAAACATATACAGTACTCATAAGGAAAAACAAAGAATATATGGAGTACTCATAACGAAATTCAAAGAAGTAGCATACTGTATATAGATATACTAAACTATCATGATAAATATAAAAGATAACTCATACCGGGTATTCACACCTTATAATTATTCTATAAAAAGTTTTTTTTTCTTAATTTTTATCAGACATTTCAAAGAAACGTCTCCACTTGTAATTTCGTGACATCCAGTCTTCTCAGTCCTTTGATTTTTAGATTTTCAAGTAAAAAAGCTGGCATTTTTTTTTTTTAGTAAATATGCATGGCTGATATAAATCTTATTAAATCAGCAGAAAAATGTCAACTAACCAAAAGTTTATAAAAAGAAATAATCTACATAAGCTGATATCCTTCATTGTGAGTAGTTAGCTTTTTCGGCAAATATCGTAAAAATGAAGTGAAAAGTTTTTATTTAGGTGTCATAACCACCTTTAACCAAATTCATAATTTTGTAGTCACTTTTTATGTTTATAAGAAATTTACTTGCAAATTTTGGTGTTGGTTAAAGGTGGTTGTGACATGCGTAGGAATTATCTAACACAGCCACCCTATTGATTTTTCCCATTACTCTAATGCTAATACGTACCGATAGTACCTTACTTTGTGACCCTATATCATTAAAAATACTATTGTATCATTAACCAACTAATATTTATCATTAAATTGGAACATAAGCCTAGTGATTCATGCAATTTTTAAGGGAAAAAATACTATCTCAAAATTTGAAGTCATTGTAGGCCGCAAAACGGCCTTATAGAGAATGATCCTTTATTCAAATCATGGCCCTTTGGGGTAGGGAGGGAAACAATGGGGAATCAAATTCAAATTATTATGAAGTGATATATAGGAAGAAAATGTTTTTAAAAAATCTATTTATCAAGAACAGCAAAGTCATATGCTGTATTAATATGAAGGCATTCTAAAGTAGTATTAAATTCAAGCCCCCCCCCCCCCCCCCTCTCAGTAAACTGTTCAGTTCTGATCTGAGTTTTTTCCCTAGCCGATTTGCTCAGGTGAGCAATGTGGCCTCTGGGCCTCTTGTTTTTAATTTTGCAGGTTTTCAAAGCACAATAAGGAATCTCAAAATAGTCAGCCACTGTGAAGAATCAGGTATTAAAAGCCTTCCTTTCAATGAAAAAAAAACATTCAAATAAGTAAACAATTTTCTGACATACATGTTAATTTATTATAACAATTGTCCATAAAATAAATATCTCTGAAAAAATACTTAAGGCAATACAGAAACAATGCATATCATTTAAATCTATGGCAATGAGTTTCCGACCGGGTTTGTACAAAATTTAACCCAGTGAGGATGACGTGATATGTACATGTACATTACAACAATTACTGTTTATTTAATCATGAATAGAAAAGATTTCAATGATCGTTATTTTTCTCATAAATAAGTGATATTGAAAAAAAAGCAATTTTAAATCTTATTTCCATCTTTCTTCAAAGGACATTTTGCGCTTAAATTGGAACCGACCAAATGATTTTTTGGGGGAAAAAAAACCCACACCAGAATAGCAAAAACATAGCAGACATATATAATCAGACCTAGGAACATGCTGAAAAACGTTGGAAGAATCAATGGCCCACTTAAAGTATAAAAATACATGTTCTCGTACACTGTATAAATCATCGAGCAACCATACAGCAATAAGCAATAGTTTGCTCTCATCTAAAATAATGTATAAAAGTTAAAAATATAAAACTTATACAAAAAAAAGAATTCTACAAAATATAGTATACATTTCTTGATTATATCCGTTTATTGTAAAAATATATCACAGATCCCTCACCCGTTGCGTAATACATACATGTACAAGTGTTCTACTGTATAGAAGCTTTTTACAAGCCAACACTAAAATACTAGACATTGACCAATTAGGCCCTATTACTCTAATCTTAAATACAAATCAAATTAAAGTAGAAATTGTACAAACATATAGGTTTTTCCCTTTCACTGGCAAAATTATAGTTTTACGCGCACTCTTTCTCTCTCTCTCTCCCCCTTTCTCTCTCTCTCTCTCTCCGTTTCTCTCTCTCTCTCTCTCATTTAAAACCTGTATTTGTGACACCATTTGAAAATGTTGCTTCGTTGCTTTCTCCAGACCTCCTAGCTGAACAGCGCATGCCTATGATTACCACAAACTGTAGTAAAATGATTCCCGCCAAAACACCGATAATTATATAGAACCTCAGGTGCGGAATGGTGTCTGAAATAAAATACAAGGTTTGTTGGTGCTAGCTAACGATGATATGATTAAAATACCACTACGGTACATTCTAGTTCAGCAGACATGATTTCCATTTTTTTACTCAGAACTGCTTCTGCACATGCTCTGCTCGAGGCTAGTGATATAGTTAACATCTTCTTACACTGTTTTGCCGTAATATATATGTTTTGTACAGAAATAAGTTGATAATATACATTTCTAAACATAATCCTATTTAAACATTGAACTATAGAATGACTTTTTTCTCATCCATCTTTCATAATTATCCTTTTAACAAAGTTTAATTGAGACTTCATGATAAATGATAAACTATGACTTTCATTACCTTCTTCCTCGGGGATTGCGACAATTTCAGAAGCATCAACTTCAAAATTTCCGCAAGTAGGAAAATTTGGCGGGATTTTGGGGAGGTTTGGAAAAGATTCATTGAGCAGCATAGCCATTCCATCGGAAGAGTGAAGTTCAATATGACAATGCATGATCCACAATCCAGGGTTATCGGCCTTAATTCTGACCACAACGTAGCCCCCACTGGGGACTATAATTGTATCCTTGCGCGGTGGATTTTGAAGTTCTAAACCAGGAACATTTCCGTTTAACCAAGACTGATCACTCCAAGTTGCTTCATTACAGAAGCTTTTGTCCACTGGAACTCCCCCTCTACAGTCGATGTCTGCATTAACTGCTATAAACTGGCCAGTTGTCTGGTTGTAATCTGCGTATCCCATCTTCAAAACATAGAATGAATGTCCATGCATATGTACTGGATGGGCCCATCCACGGCCTACACCCATGTTTAAGAGGACCATTTGAATTGTATCACCATGATCAAGATCTAGGGAATATGAACAACTACATAATTTTTGTTCACCGCATCCAGCCTCATCACATGATCTTGTTATTTCCTTTGGTTGTGAAACACCAGACACAGTTGGAAATACCAATGATCTCCCATTTACAGATCCAGGAAATCTATCAGTGCCGGGAAAGGCATAATTCAGGAAGTATTCCTTGAATTTTCCTTTAACAAATGGCGGTGCTGGATCATCGGTCGCAGTTGAACGAAGTGTATCAAAGCGGATGCATTCTGTGTGTTCATCTTGAGGAAAGTAAGTAAATGGACAGTTTAAAACAGAGCATTTGTTCCCTGCCGTGCACTGTTTTCGATTAGTTTTGGGTTCTTCCACAGGAGCTCCATCATATCGTAAAATAGCTTTCGCTACTGTCGTCCGTGGTATTCTTTCGAGAGTCTTCCCACGTATCCAATAATTGTCAATCGTCTGATTCGCTTCCAGAATGAAGTCAAAGCGCTCACCAGGATTAACAACAAAAGACTCGACTGTCTTTGGTTGAACGGGGTATCCATCAGACTCTATGATAGTAATCACGTGATCATCTACAGACACTCTGAATGGATAAAGACCTCCCACTCCGATCACACGAAAGCGGTAAGTTGACCCTAGGGTCACATTGAAAACTTCTAGTGGAGCTTCATTGTGAATACCATTATCTGGATCTGAATAGTAGCGCCCCCTACCATTGATCAACCCTGCGTCCGCCTTAAAAAGACTAAAGTAACTACCGTCGAGGGATTGGGAAGGTGCATATTTAGTTCTATTCTCGATGATCCCGTAAGTCATCAACTGAAATCCTTTATTGGCATCCCAATCATGATTCCATTCCATGATTTGGAGGATGTGCTCTGGAAGGGGGTTTGGTTCTTTTTTACGAATGACAAAAGCTCCCAATAAACCTTCGACACGCTGGGCTCCTGAGTGAGAATGGTACCAAAATGTCCCTGCCGGATGGGCCTTGAACTTGTACGTGAATGTTTGTCCGGCTTCAATGGGACATTGTGATACAAAGGGAACTCCATCCATGTACGGTGATCCTTCTTGAGGCACTCCGTGCCAGTGAATCGTGATGGCGTCGGAATGTAACTGGTTCTTTACTCTTATGATAACAGTTTGTCCCTCGTAAACGATAATATCAGGTCCTGGAAGTGTTCTATTGGCGACCACTATGAGACGTTTAGACTCCCATCCATCCCCTGTTACTATTTCGCTCAAAGGAACGGGCTCGGCTTGAGAAATATTTGTCACTCTGTAGTCGTACAGTTTCCCTTGTTTTGGATACACGGCCCTGTTTGCAGCACTGGTCATTGTTAAGTAGTGCTCAATAACAAGCGACGTCTCACAAACGTTTGCTGTACTATCACATGTATACCCAACTGCTGAAGTCACAGATAAAAGGAATATGAAGAGTTCCATTAAAAGCATTTTAATTCGCTGAAAATATAAAATGAAAGATAAGAAGATAATTAATGAAGATTATTCAAGTTCTAAAGTCCAAGTCCATAAAATGATATACAAAATAGGAGCGGAGAAAACACGGACCTCCAAAACATCAGAGGTGGGATCAGGTGCCACTGAGGAGTGAGCAAACCCTGCCGACCGTTCACACCTGCCTTGTGCTCCTTGTCATGATCGGGAAATAACGAAATAATCTGTCGTCAGTTTAGTGTATAAATAATAACTTAACCATGCGCGGATCTAGATGTGGGTCGGGGGAAGGGGGGGTCTGGACCCCCTCTCCTGGAATTTGCAGTGATACTAATTTATAAATTGATACACTAAACCAAATAAAAAGTGACCTTGGATCCCCCCTCCTCCCTAGAACACGGAGACCCCCCTCCCTTGAAAACGCGGACCTGTGCTAAGTTGGTATGAAAAGCAATAGGTATAAAGCATTAGAAGTCAAAAGTCAAACCGTATCGAATCATCTTAGAGATACACCGTATATATGCAGGTGATGAAGGTATATACTTGCTGAATAAGTAAGGGAAGTTGAAATGAACATAACTTTCAATGGATACTACGTGTTTTTGTATAATTTTCTTTGACAATTTGTGTTAACTTAAACAATTTAATAAAGATATTTAACTGTCTTTTTTTTCTAGTAGAGCAACCTTTTCTGAACCCATTCTGACTTTCTTTAAAAGTTTGACATCTTCTGCATAATTCTTTAAACGGTCATTTATAAAGAATAATTCTCGTAAAAAGTTTACCCAGGCAGCTTAAATAATAATCAGGCGATAATAATGCTATAGTATTATGCATGATAAGGAAAGTGAGTTTTGCAAATTAACCACCCCGTCTTAATTTCTATGAGAAAAACTTATGAGGGCGGAAAAAGGGGAAAATGCAACATGACCCCCCCCCCCCCAGTTTACATTATTAAAATTTCATAAAGAGGCCAGATGAAATAAATCTTTAGATTCTCGTCCTAATTTGCTAAAAAATCGGGGCGGGTGGGCGGATTTTATTTTTTATAATTGTTAAATTATAAGTATCAACAAAACATGGACTCTTCGTACACATTTTTTTCATTATGTTAATGCCAGTATGAATAGATTTTATTCTTTTCATATTCTTTGAGATAGTTAAAGAAGATTCTTGCTTTAAAAATGAAATATTTATTGTTAATTAACAAATTATCAAGTACACAAATACGGTACACGCCAAACAAAATGAGGTGGGAATACCAATAAATTGTGCATGCATAACTTCTCATCGGCCTTAATTTCCACAAATACCATTTTGTTTTACCAACAAATCTCTGTTTTCTGTAAAATATCATAGATTTCCTCCTTCCTAAAAAAAAAAAAATGATGGTTTTTGAGACTTGACATGTTCGACATTAAAATAGTATTTTGCAAAATCTATAAACCATTCTGATAAGAAATTCTACTGAAAAACCTAGGCTAGACTTGCTCAAGTCTCTATGTTTTTAGGTCACCTGAGTCACTCAGGTGACCTATTGCTATCTGTTTTCGTCCGTCGTCGTGCGTCGTGTGTCGTGCGTCGTGTGTCGTGTGTTAACATTTGAACATTTTCAGCTTCTTCTCTGCAACCACTGAACCAATTTCAACCAAATTTGGCATAAAGCATTTATGGGTGAAGGGGAACAAAAATTGTGAATTTCATGATCCCTGCCCCCCTGGGGCCTGAGGGGTGGGGCCAAAACACTTAAAATTAATGCAATCTTTAAAAATCTTCTTCTTTACTCCTGGACATCAAGCCGGCAAACTGTTTGCATGATTGTAATCAGCAAGGATGCCTCTACCAAAATTGTGAAATTCATGGCCCTGGGGTCAGGGGTTCTGGTGTTAGGGCGGGGCTAAATAAGTATATTAGTGAAAATGCATTATTTCTTTGAAAGTCTTCTTCTCTGCTCCTGGGCATTAGATAAACCAACTAAGTACATAGTTATGATGAGCAAGAGTGCCTCTACTAAAATTGTGAATTTTATGGCCCCAGGGTCAGGGGCTCTGGTGTTAGGGCGGGGCTCTATATATATATTGATTATACAGTGAAAATGCATTAATTCTTTGAAAATCTTCTTCTCTGCTCCTAGGTATTAAATAAACAAATTCAGTATATACTTATGATGATCAAGGGTGTACCTTTCAAAATTGTGAAATTTGTGGCCCAGGGGTGAGGGGCTTTAATAGGTATGTTCCGGGGTGGGGCAAACTTGGTCATATACTGAATATGCAGTTTGAAAATTGTCTTTTATTTCTTCATTGTGATCAAGCAGTCAAACTGTTGGTATGCTTATAATAATCAATAAACCTTATAATTTTAGAATGCATGACCCCTGGATTTTGGGGATAGAGGCCCCGGGTTAGGGCTTTAAGTTGCAAATATTATATTGAAATAAGTGTAATGTTGCATTGAAAATTTTCATAGTAAATTGATTATTAAAATATGCAATAACAAATATTTGTGTAAAAACGTTGTTTATAAACAATGTATGAAATTATAGCGCCCTAGATTTTTTTTATTTGATTTCAATAATCCGGAAATATAGCTGCATACGAGGCCCGTATACTTCGTGCTTTAGAATATCTCACGCATGCGTACAATCGGCAAATTCAGTGTCTTCCGGCAACTTGAAGAAGTCTTGGCAGAAAATCAAGCGTCAAAATACGATTTTAATTTCATTTCAGTTTTAAGAGTTTGTATTATTTACGGTGGGTATGAGTGGTGCAGTTTTTAAGTTTAAACAGCATGGAATATGACGTGCTTTAGCTAATATATTCTTGGTAATCGTTCGATTCCTTTTTGAGATGACATCACGTGAACGGTAATGGCGGAACGGATTGTTGTATCGAGAAATTTATATACACCTATGTACTAATAAATTCTTTTTATTGGGTATTAGATATTTTGTTTTTGTAATATGTTTTACGGTGTGACCGTTGAGGCGAGCGCAGTTGTACCATCAAAACACTTGAAAAATTGATCAGCCACTTCAAACATCAAGTCGCACGAGACATCTCGACTAGCTGTGACGTCACACGACGTCACGGAGCTCGTCGGAGCTTACGGAAACGTCCGAGCGTCTGGTTTAAACAATAGACCTAGCACAATTTTGGTCGAAAAACATTGCAGAGTTATTTTTTGTTTCTTTGAAAGATTTCTACAAACTGAAAGCTTTTTATGCTTTACGTTATTGTTTATTTATTTATCTATTTCACGGAAGCAACCGACATGACTTAATTAGCATATCGTCAAAATTCGTAAGTTTCCGGTGACGTCATATGTATCATTTCCGAAGGGCAAGGTGAAGGCCAGTGTTGTGGCATGGGGGTATTTTTTTTGAATAAGGCAAGGCAAAATCATTTCGTTAAGATTTCGGTAAGAAACAATGTTCCTTTATTTTTTTTACTATTTTTGATTTATTTGCGCAAAGGACATTGGGTAGTGCAGGAATTCTGGGAATGTTGCACAGAGAAATTTGGCTGACGTATGTACAGATTTCAATCCGAATTTCCTCTGTTCTTACACGTTAGTCTATTGAGCTCGCTTCGCGAGCGTCGCTTCGCGACGCTCGCTGCGCTCGCTATTAAGTCGAAAATGTGCACTGAATGTGATGAAATATTTCGAATTATCGTTGAAGAAATGATAGCCTCGATTGGTAGAAGTTAAAATCGGTAGTGAGAATGGCACTTACCAAAAAAAGGCACACGGTATATGCAAGAAAGAACAGAAGAAATGAAAAGTTATTCTCTTTTGAGAAAAAGTTATTCTCTTAGTGTGCTCTTTTGTGAAAAAGTCAGAAAATGTACAAATGTCACAGGATTACTGTTAGAAATGTAACATAAATATGTAAACATTTAGTGGATAGTTGATTAACAAATTTTAAAAGCCAAAAGAAATATTTGATTCTTGCAGTCTTTATATAAATCAAGAGTAGGAATGTCAACAATATCAGTTGTTTTTCTTATGCATCTATTTATTATATGGTACATGTATCTAAATACAATACACATGCCTCAGATTTTTTTATTTTTTAAATTATAGGTTAGGCCATACCAATTTCTAATATAGTTCGTCGGATTCGCCGCTTCTATTTATTACAAATGCAAATTATAATATTAAAAAAAAAATGTCCGCGCGCGCTTCCAAAAAAATCCGACTACAATTTTTTTCTCGACTTTTTGCACCAAACACACAAGAACTTTGAAACTTGTATGACAGATGCGCGGGATTTATAGTGAGATTGAAGCAGTTTGTGAAGTTTTGCACCATGTCTGTTCAACTGTTCATATGTACCAGGGGTGTGCAGTTAGCATCCCCTGACGCCCGGGGCTAACATTTTTGGGGGTCGGGATAGTGGTTTTCTACGAGGAGGTAGCCCGTCGGGCTGGTAAAAAATATAACTACACACGCAATACATGAAAAGCACAACCGGTATTTTAACTCGATTTTGGCTATAAAATTCCCAACCAGTTTATATTTTCTAGACAACATACTCCTACTGTCAATAAATCTCCATAATCTTATCCATTTTGCAGAACTACCTGACTTATTTACTTCCAAAAACGATCGTTTTTTCCTAATCCGAATTACCTCGATTCCTCCGTTTATGCAGCTATATCTTTAAATTATTTATGATCACTCAATCAACTGAAAGATAAGTGTTTTGTGACTCACATAAAATATATTTCTTTTGTTTTGAATGATTTAAGATGAAAACAAAATGAATTTAATTTCATTCTACATGTTCTAAATGAGCTAGTGCAATGATCAGAGAAAGGGAAGATAATTAATTGAAGTTCATTTTAATTTTATTTCATAATAATTTAAACATGACTGAATTTAATATTGAGAATTTAAACTTTGACTTTAAAAAGAATGACCTCAGTACCCTGACTTTTATCAGCAATTAATTTCTTTTTCAACATTATTTTATAGACTTTTTGTTTTAATTTTTGCCCCTG